ATTCCTGATATCCAGAAATGCAATTCTGAAGCTCGCGTTGAAACTTGAATGCTCGTTCAGAATTATCAACTTTTTCGATGAAATGTTTTGCCAATTTGTATCAAAACGTGTCAAAATGGCCTAAAATAGTTATTTAAAAATAATGCTTCTTGAAATAAAAACCGCATAAAAAGAGGACCTAGTGTATATCAATTGTTTTTTGTCCCATGAAATAAAATCAGAACATTCATTTGAATTTGATGTATACGTCAAATTGACGTTGAACAAATAATTAAATTTAAAATGTTCATTTATAAAGTCAAAATAACCTAATTATAACTTCTTGATTAATAATAATGATTTATTGTATTCATGAATACAATATATACACAATAGGTTGTTGGCTGCGGTCTTTCCGCCGAACTTCCTAATTAATTTGGTAAATGCATTTGATTATAGCGATGAAACAAGTTATAATTAAACAAAGCATTAATTAAATATTATATGAATGATATTATATACTCTATACATTATTTGCAATTATAATACAAAATATTAATAGAAATGTGTAAAACCTTTATTTGTATTAGATAATGCTGATATATAAATGAAGTAAATATGATACTGGATGTAAAGCAAATTTATAAAAAATGTATGAGGCTATATAGACATTAGATTCAATTGAAAACAATGGAGTGAAATAAGACACGAGGCTAATGAGTTTTAAACAAGTCGTTCCTGTTTGGTACGTAATGCGATAAAAATGGGCGTAAACGAAAGATGAACCGACGAGGACCGGCGTTCTGTTGCAGAAAAGGTAGCAGCAACATTTGTTAATACTATTAGAAAGTCATTGGGTGAGAATTGGGTGAGTTTACGGACGCATTTATATAACGGCGAAGGAGGAACACAAAGCGACGTTGCGCAACGTAATTATGTGAGTTATTAGCGGAGGCAGGCCAAGTGATTCACTGAATAACACGTTGATAAGATATATTTTCATTTAATGCAGTCAGTATTCCGACGACGACAGACCAGTGAGGTTTCGTTCCGATATGTGCGACCTACTGACCAAGGACGAGTGCAAGGTCATCCTTAGCAACTACCTACAAGACGCCGCACTGATCTCGTATAAAGTGAATCCTTTATCTGAAACTATCGAAGGACTTGTCGGTGAACATTACATTGTTGCAGTGGATTTCGCAACGAGTGACGATGCACCAAGCAATTCGCAACGATTCTTTTTGAAAGTCTTAAATGGCAACAACTCCGTAATCTTCGAGCTCTCTCAATCGCTAAACGCTTACGGTAAAGAAGAGTTCTTCTACAATTATTTGCAAGTAGAGTACCAAAAGAGAAATATCGATATTTCATACGCTCCCAAGTGTTATTATTGTAAACCCTACAAAATTGTCTTGGAAGATTTATCCGTTAGGCAATTTACAATGAGGAACAAGAAATTATTGTTCGATGTAGAACATTGCAAAATTGCGCTCGACACTTTAGCGAAATTTCACTGTTCCAGCATTATTTACGAAATCAAACAATCGATTTGTTTGAATGATAAGTTTCCTGGACTTTTGGAAAACAAAGTGTTTACGAGTGCAGAGAACGTCGCTTCCAAATGGATGCGCTGCTCTATCGACGGATTAATGCAACTCATAGATCATTTAAGCATAAGCGAAACGGAGAAGAGCCGCTTCAAAGTGGAAATGGAGGCCGCGTTCCAGAGGGCATGTTCCGAACGGCCGACCGAAAACCACTTAAGTACCGTTTTGCACGGCGATCTGTGGTCGAACAATTTCCTATTTCAATATGCGGAGGGAAAACCGAAGGTCGCCGTGTTGATCGATTACCAGATCCTGAAGTACGGGCCGCCGGCCTCCGACGTGGTCCAGATGATCCGCACCAATACGAGGAAGGGAACGCGCGATAAACACTTCAAGGAATTATTGGATTATTATTACAGCCGTTTCGTGGGTTGTTTGGGATCGAGTGGTCTGGAGGCAGAAGAAATAATGTCGATTGGGGATTTCTTGGCTGCCTGCGAAGAGGTCGATTGTTCGGTAAGGTTGCATGCCCTTGCCGACCGATCCGTTACCTTCTTATCTGATGAACTCGTCGGAGATACCATGGGATCGGAAGATTCACTTAGGAGCTTCTTATATGAAGATAGGGGTAAATGCATGGTTGATTCATTCTTAACCCATCGTGACTTTAGGGAAATCATTGAAGAAGATCTACTCGACCTTAAAGAAACTTTATTGAAACACTAATTATGTTATCATTTTATTGTAATTGTTATGAAATATTTATTTAAATCAATAAAATTACAATAATAAATATTTGAACATTCAGAAGAGACTTTTCAGGACCGATTTCATCATTTCTAAAGAGGATGGTAGGTAATGAAGAGTAATTATAAATAAATAGTTACATCTTTTTTGAAGTAAATTTAATTTATATTTTAGATTAAAATCATTTTCGCGTTGTAAGATATATAAATACTATCTCTAATCAAGCAAGCGTAAAAACAAGTTGCGAATTGAGATTTCTTAAGTGCAGAGATAAAATGGAAGCGCTAAATTGTATGTATTCAAGTTTAAGTAAACAGTTTTGTTTATCCGAATCAGGGGTAAAGTAAAAATTCCTCGCAGTACAATTTAGAGAGCAAACAATTAAACTTGAGCAGAGGATAAGAGCGCGGAGAAAAGGCCGTGAAATCCCCTTCGGTGTAATCGTCGAATTTTCTAAGTAAATTCGAGTCGGATGTAAAGAGACATTAGATGAAGCCTCGGCGGAGCGTGGCAAAAGTGAAAATTTAGTTATTGTCAGGCAGAATGCGTACGTGCACTTATGTAAAGATAAGATAAAAAAAAGACATGAAAAGAATGGAGGAGAGTGGCGAGAGCATTACATATTCCTCACATTTCTCTAAACGTTATCCAGGGAATAATCTCCAAGCGCGAGATATCGCCCTTCCCTCCGCAGGGGTTTACAAATCCATCCAGAAATGTAAAATTCATCTGGAAACCGCTTCAATTTAAATTAATACTTTTAGTCTGCACCAATGTTAAGCCTTAATTAAATTCGGTGCTTGCGTTCGGCCGCTAATAAGGTGGTCGGGATTACTCCCACTTTACTAGCCAGAAAATATGCAAACAGATATTCTGTGCTGGATAATGAAAGAAGTCCGTGTTCGTGACTTAATTTTAGCGTGCGCTTCTCGAGTGTACGATTTAATGTAGCGAAATTAAGACATAAAACTTGTTGTTTGCATTTCTCCAATTGACGTTTTCAAACATTCAAATTACAACCATTTAAAAATTGATTATTATGAAATTAACAACATCTTGTGTAATATTATCTTCCCATTATATGATAATAATATATTGTAGATTAATCTATTTGAAGTACATGCTTACAAATTTAATTCTTTAAAGTAAACTTATTTGCCTAGTTTCTTATTTACCATTTTTTCCCCAAAGTTAATTCAATAAATAATTAAATAAAACGCTCATTCAATAATACTTTATTTGCAATTATATAAACACATTCACTTGACATATTATAAATGTTTATATTTTGAAACCGTATTCTTAAAGTCCATTAAATCATCTAAAAGAACTTCCCTGCAGAGATCCGATGTTAAAAATGAATTGACCATAACTTTGCTACGATCTTCAAACATGAATTTTCTATTAGCTTCCTCGGTTGCGACATACTCTGCAATAACGTCTTCTGACAGGAATGTCATGGATCTTCCAGCTATCGATTGTAACGTGACATCCAAGTCAACTTCCTTACACGAATCAAGAAAATCATTCATCGTGAAGTAGTTCTCACAGGAGTATCCGGCTTTAGATAAACAAGTTGAAAGACACTCGTAGTAAAACTTCAGCAAGTCATTGAGATTGTCTTGACGAAACTTGCTGTTTGTGTTCGTTCTAATCATTTGCATAACGTCGGAAGCTGGAGGCCCATACTTGATGGCCTGGTAATCCAATAACATACAATCTGTAACCTTGCCATCTTTATACTTGAATAAGAAATTGTTCGACCATAAATCGGCGTGCAAAATTGTATTCAGACATTTCCTATTCACTTGCTTATCGCAAGTCTTCTGGTACACTTCCATTATATCAGATTTCAAAGTATTTTTTTCCAACTCGCTGATGATGTCTATATGATCCACAATTTTAACCAAACCATCGATTGAGCAGCGAATCCAAGTTGATCCACAAGTAACTTCCGTAGTAAATATTCTATCCTCCAGACATTCAGGGTACGAGTCTAAAAGACATACCGATTTACGCTTTTCGTAGATAATAAAGCTACTGTGGAATGTAGCTAAATTCTTCAGCACAACTTTACACTCGTCCAAACTGAATTGATCATACTTGTTCCGCGTCGTGAATCCACGTAGGCATAAATCTTCTAATACTAATTTGTATGGTTTGCAGAAATACAGACGAGGTCCATAAGATATATCTATGTTTTCTTTCAAATATTCCCTTTGCAGAAAATTATAGTGAAATTCCTCTTTTTCGTAAGCCCTTACCGACATGCACATTTCCAATATTAATTTCGATGTCCCGTTGAGGACTTTTAAAAAGAAGCCTTGGATCTCATTGTTCCCCGATTTTGGAATGGAAAATGTTATTTCCAGTAAGTAGTGTTGACCCATAAATCCTTGAACCTTATCCGATAACGGTTTTACCTTGTATGCAATCACATCCGCACCTTCTGGCTCGCAATATTTGCGAAGAACGTTTTCGCATTCCACTTTCGTAAATATCTCGTACAGGATTTTGATCATTTTGATGACTTCTCGTCTGAACAATCGACTTTATACTAATTTGCACCGTTGCATGATCAGCGGTTTTATTGGGTTTTCTAGATAAATTGCGTAATATTATAAATTATTGTGTATCATTGGAAAGAGACAGATATTAATTTATTACTAAACGAAATCTGCTTTAATAATCTAATCTTTACTACGAGTATCATGATTAGAACTTTATTTACCAAATACATTGAAAAAAAATAGTTTGTACGTAGTTATGCAACACCACATGCTCTGCAACAATTATATTGCATGTACAATTTCTACAGATTCTAGAGATTGGTGAAATTTTACAATTTTTGATAAATTTATTTGAGTTTTGTTACAAAACAATTCAATAATTTGTTTTCAAATCCAATCAAAACTTAATGAAATTAGATTTAGTTTTTATAGACATTTTTATTAAAATCCTCAAAATGAAATCTTAATTAATTTGTTTGTATTAATGAATTTTATAAAAATATTTGAATTTTGCAACATTTGCAAATATTTTTATAAGTAACAATTAACAATTTACGGTAAAATTCATTTTGTAATTGGTAAATAACTCGCTGCATGTAAATTTCATTTAAAATCAAATTAAAAATGCACGCCGTCGAATTCCCAACGCGCATTTGCTCAACTTAATATTGCGTGATGCGTGAATATGTTGTGCGTTTTGAATATTTATACAGCACGAACAATTAACTCGCTTAATTGCTGCATAAATATTTGTAATTGCATTCAGTTTCGAAATCGAATCAAATTGATGTAACAAAAAAATAAGTATATTTTCCCTTAATATTCATTAAAATGATACATTTAAACAAGCGCTCTAATAAATAACAATAAAATTTAAAACATTGTAACATTTTATTTGTGTTCAATATGAAAACAGGTTTTAATATTTAGTGTTGTTCAATGAATATATGAAATGGTTGTAAATAAGTGAAATATTAATATATTGATTGTAATATCCAAATAAAACAGTTAGAATTGTTTTAATTTTATCATTTTTAATTGTATTATGTGATTTCTAATGTTAAAATGCAAATGTACAAATATGTTTTTATAGATACTTTAAATTCTAATTGCAGAATGGGAACGTTTATCAACAAGAATTAAAATTGCCTCCATTTGGGGAAATTTACCCTAGTTCTTCGATCCTTGATTTATACGAATAAATTTTTATAAAAATTGTAACGGCAATAGTGCAAAAGCATGTTAAACAAATTACGTTACATATAGACGTTGCATTCATTATGAAATGCACAATAAAAAGCATAATTCGCATGTCAATTGCATAAATTAAAATTTGTAAATCGAACGAAATATATAGAGCATGTATAAAATGTACAAAAGCATTTGTGAATAGGTTCCATTAGAGATTAATTAAATTTTAATTGAAAAATAATGACACATTCTTGTTCATTTCATAGTAATTCGTTACCAAAATGCATGCTGTAGCAATAATGATAAATAAATCTGTTAATTGCTTACTAATTAACGTATCTATTGGGCACAATCGACAAATTATAGAAACAATTATATTTTGAAGCGTACACATTTTCAAATCAGAAATCTGTATTTATTCCAGAAATAGTATCGTCTGCATCGCAAATAACAGATGCGAATTTGCGGTTCGATTTCTACCGAAGCAAACTATTTACAAATCCAACAGCAGCGAGTCACGATACGATGTAATTTCTCTGAATCGTGCATCTCGCTAAAGAAAAGAAAACTCATAGTTGGTCGATAAACGTCGTTGGATTCGGGAAATATTTCTTTTCCATTTGAGTAAATCCGTTATATATCAACCTAATAATAATAGTATTTGTTGCACATAAGAAAATTGAACAAAGAATAATCTTAATCATAAGACTTTCTGCCATTACACACATTGAGATATATTTGTATAACAAAATCTTAATAATTGTAGTTTAAAATATAGAAAGTGTAAACTTGATGTAACCTATTCTCGTTATGAATTTGTCTATAAAAGTATACATACAAAATATGTATAATAATGTTAGGTTTTTATTGACCAAAATACTAAATTTCATACTTAATAAATATTTATTAATGCGAACAATGTGATGTAATTGTTTTCTTACCAAGTTTTTTTTTTAATGAAAATATTATTGCGCCTCCATGGATATTTGTGCCAGAGCCGCACTTAAGAAGCCAAAGAGCCACATGTGGCTCTGGAGCCGCACTTTGCCAAGGTTATGGTTAGGTTAGTAAAATAATAATAAATATATTTCTTTGTTTTCAAAGGGATTTTTGATATCGAACTTAAACAAACATTTACATTTTTCGATCCCCAATTTTTGTCTATCCGCTCATGCTTATTTCGTTTACTCCTACACACGGTGTATACACGGTGTATACATTTTATTTTAAATCCTGAAATCCGCCTGATTTAATCTATACACACTTTTTTTGTGTGTGTGTGTGTGTGTATTCGCAGCGTTTAAGGCAAAGAAGAGTTTACTGTAAATTTGCATTTATAATTGCCAATCTATTTCGTCCCGGGGAGTTTTCAAACGTAATCCGACTTTTGTAAATGAACCGAAATTGAATTCGCTATATTATGTATCTCAGTCCCTGTGTGTATGTGTGTGAGTACTTTATTTCTGATGTTTTTCGTATTCGACGTTTGTTGTTTGTTTATTAGACTTTGAGATCATGGAATATGTCAATTTAGGATTAATTAATGATCGAGTCTTTAGTCCCGTTCGGAATTTCGCACTGGAAACGCGCAGACAATTCAATTACGATCGTCGGGTTATGCGTTATATTATTTCATAATGCTTGCTATATGTTAAAAGCAAATATGGAAAAATGCTTAGACGAGAGACTGGAACCGACGCGACATGGCCTCTCGGATTTTTTCTCTTATGGATTTTATTTGCTTTACAAACTTAATGGAGAACTCCGGGAAATTCAATATAGTAGGCGAAATTGGGCTCGGATTTGCATATGCCCATCTGATATATTTATATATATATGTATATGTGTATATGTGTGCCACGCGAATACAGATTCACGTGCGCCCTCGGATCATTGTTAGATTTAGATTTTCCGGTGCCCGGAAACTTGCATTTTCATGCATATTTCATTGACTTCTCGCATATACAGGCAAATCCTCAATAATCTGCTTCACGCATCAACAGCACATTCGAATCTTAACTAATTAATAAAATATTCCTTTTACATATAATATAAACAATGCTTCAATATTAATTAACAAAATTTGGTGTGCACATACATAATGATTGATATTTTTTCATCAAGTTGCACATAATCCGGATTAATTGCTACAATTACAATTAACTGAGAATATGTAGTATTTTCGATATGAATTTGTCTATAAAAGTATACATAGAAAGTATGTATAATAATGTTAGGTTAGGTCAGTGGTTGGCAAATTTATTGACCAAAGAACTAAATTTCATACTTAATAAATATTTATTAATGCGAACAATGTGATGTAATTTTTTTCTTACTAAGTTTTTTTTTAATAAAAATATTATTGCGCCTCCATGGTTAAGAGCCACATACGGCTCTGGAGCCGCACTTTGCCAAGGTTATGGTTAGGTTAGTAAAATAATAATAAATATATTTCTTTGTTTTCAAAGGGATTTTTCGATATCTTATGATCATATGATGATTGATATTTTTTCATCAAGTTGCAGACAATCCGGATTAATTGCTATAATTACAATTAACTGAGAGTATGTAGTAGTTAGTAAGAGGTACAATTGAAATGCATTCGCATTGTTCCTTGATTCTCGTTTCAAAGCGAATAATTCAGTTTCGGTGACCGGGAGATAAATCAACATGTAGCCAATCGCGCTTGTATATCTATATAGTACATGTTGTCGCCTGCCTGTTAGTATATCGATGCAAGCATCAAAAACTGTTTGGTATTAAACATAAAATAAATCACTTTAGGCAACGAAACACACACACACACAAAAAAGTAAGTGCAACGTAAAAAAAAGGAAACAAACACTCACAAAACGAACACAATCAGGGAGTTGGAAAATGTAAAGAGTGCATCGCATGCTACAATCCATTTGTTCCACTCGACTGTGTGTTTCATCCACTGAAATAAACGTGAAAGTATATAGACATTACTGGAAATTGATTAGGCTAGACTTTGATTGAAAAACTAAATCATTGTTCGCAAATGAACATCTATTGTTTCAGATAATTACAAAAAAAAAAAATACATTTTCTTTGCCAGGAATTAGTAAAAATTATAATTTATTGTTTATATAATAAACTATGTATCCAAGATATGTGAGCTACTAAGAATAATGCACACAGAAAAAAATACAGGAGAGGAGAATCAAAATTGCTATTTAGTCATGTTTTAACTGAAGTTAGCTGCTATATTTGATAATCGATTTTATGATAAGTTTTAGATTATCTGTAAATAGTTCAGAGACGTGTAACTTTGAAGCAAAGTCTGTCTTTGACCCTACTTAGTGTTCGATATCAATGGTTCCTTTTAAGCTCTTGTATCGTTGGAATTAATTTGGATCGAACGGCGAAGGGTTAGAATCTGCACATCACACAAATGTGTTAAAGAGAATTGGTTTCCCTGTACACAACATCTGGAGATTTACCTTTTGCAAATCATCTATAAAATATGTACTGTTAAATAAATTATTAACCGACCAAATCACATATTTTTTTAATTTATCGAAGTCGCCTTAATAACAAGCGTAAAATACACGTTTTTTTTTGCGCTTGTTATTTCTTTCTACCTCACTAGATCTTTAAACTTGAAGGGTTTTTGCATCGTGACCCACAACGGACAAGGGTCGTACCAAAAGAAGAAGAAAAAAAAACAGTGACCATTGATAAGGAACTCGGAAAGCTCTTTATACTCCTATGCACACCGATTTTTATGTAGATTCATTTTGAATTTTATTGATTTTACGCCCATTCGAGCATACTGTAGTCATATACCAATGGGGGTATTAAACTATAGAAATAAAATGAA